TTTGATTGGCGAGGTCTGCCCTTAAAATTAATAATAACTGGGGGAGGGTTAAGTGAGGAAATGCATACATGCACCCATCTCTCCACGGTCTTGCTACTTTAGTCCAATTTGGAAATTCATATGCCTTTAAGACCCAAGTTGATGGGTTGGTAATTAAAAGTAAGTCATACCCCTACAAGCATGATATGAAATTTTTGCCCTGAAAATATAGCTCAAAGCTTAAAGACATGAGAAAAAAGATGCCACCATCACCTTACCAGCCTGATCCAGCAGGACTCTTCTTACGTTTTTAGTCTGGATCAAAATTTTAAGAGCAGGACTTAAGCTAACCTGTCATTTAGATAGAAGTGGGGAACCTTTTCCATCCAGCTGCATTTCCAGGGGCTGCATGCCATCCACAGCAGGATCCAGATCTAGAACTGAATGGGGCCAATATCTTGCCATTCACACATATAAACATATACACACTCTGTTTTCACATGCATGTTTACCCATCCATGCAGATTTCTGGACTAGTGATAAGAAAACTAGGGGGATCTGAGATCCAGAACATCTGGAGGGCTACAGTTCCCCAACCTAGGCTAGGCATTTAATTCAATAGGTCAGCCATTCTCAAAGATTTCAGGAATTCCTCAAACTGCTGGGGATTTTTTCAGTAAAACAACCAGAAATTGCAAACAAGTTTGTTTACCAATCCCAACCTTTGAGAATAAACGTTTAGGAATGCCCTTGTTGTTGTTGTTGTTGTTAATTTCACCCACCAATCTATTCATCATCTGGCAATTTCATTATCCAATTGCCATTTTTCCTCCACCGTACTTTATTTAGACCTGGCAATAGAAAAACTAAAGATATTACGAGGCTGCTTTATTTTCATTATGGTGATCGTGTGCTGTCGTTTCTGACTTATGGTGAACCTTTCCAGAGTTTTCTAGGTAGAGAGTACTTAATGGTTTACCATTCCCTTCTTCTGGATCCTGCAACTGGGCAGCTTGCCCAAGGCTATACAGGCTGGCTCGTCTACCAGGAGGGTCAGTGGGGAATCAAACTCCCAACCTCCGGCTTCACTCATACCAAATTCATTGGGCTATCCTGCTAGCTTATTTTAGCTAGGCAAAAATCAAAGGACAAAGGAAAGAGCAGTTGCCAAGTTGAATGATTCATCACTGAAAAGAAAAACGAGTGACAAATTGACAAAAAGAACAATGAACAGCTGTACCACCCATGAAGGTGAAGTTGGAGGACAGTTCTGGGCAAGGCTGCTTTCACATTTGAGGGGACTGCCTCACTCACACACACACACCCCACAAAGGGTCACCTGGTGGCCATGGTAGCCACTTTCTTATCATTGTAATTACTCCACAACACAGCTTGTGGATCTGTGAAGAAGTGGATTGCAGTCCATGTGACCTTAAAACTGGCTAGTCTTTAAAGACATGACAAGATTTGTTCCTGCTGCTGTTATTGTTGTTGCAAGTCAGCTGTTACCATGTAGTCAGCAGTTTGTGTGTATTTTGTGCGGGGCAAACTTTGCAGCTGTAATCTGCTAATGGATTCAGCATGATCTGAGTTCAAGCTGTTCTGAATCATGCAGCAATTTCAGTTGTAGCTTTCAGTTTGTGGAATCATGCAGCAATTTCAGTTGTAGCTTTAAGTTTGTGACAGAATACTAGTTGTCAGAATCCAATTGGCAGCAATGTGTCTTGGAAAATTGTGCCGAGGGGAGTTGTAATTCGGTTTCTCCCTGTTCTGTTTTAAAATCCCAACTATTAGAGCTGGAAAGCGTCTCAGATAATCT